TAATTAAATAACATTACATAGATTAATTAAATAACATTACATATATTAATTAAATAACGTTACATATATTAATTAAACAACATTATATAGATTAATTATATAGCAGTGCATATATTAATTATATAGCAGTGTATATATTAATTAAATAACAGTACATATATTATTTAATTAACATTACATATATTAATTATATAGCAGTGCATATATTAATTATATAGCTGTGCCTATATTATTTATATAACTACATATATTATTTAAATAACATTACATATAATACTTAAATAACATTACATATATTACTCAAATATCATTGTATATACTACTATATGCAAAAGATAGGTACACGAATACGCACAGGCGCACACACTCTCTGTACATCAATTAGGTTAGCTGTTTGTTGATAGAGTGGATTAGATAGCACCGATATATATCCCATCGGCGTATCTGTCTGTGTGGGCACTACTATTGCATGTAATACTACATGAGAGAAGCCGTACACCCTCTCCATCCATCACCCATATCACATACGTGTTTTCAATCATAGTACTTGTTTCTTTGGTGAATTGTATACCACTAGCTGCCGAGTACATTGATTTAGACAGAAAGCACAGCTAGTCCTAAAAAACAAACCAAAAATAAGCCGCAAAATCGGGTCACATACTTCCCCGGCCAATGGGCGCCCATCTTGCGAATCAATTTTTGGATCATTTCTGTTACTGTGGTCAAGAAACAATAAAAGAATGAGAACTACGTCGTATTGTCGTACCAATGGATCGTATTGTCGTATTTGATGGATCGTATTGTCGTATTTGATGGATTGTGTTGTCGTATTTGATGGAACGTATTGTCGTATTTGATAGATTGTATTGTCGTATTTGATAGATTGTATTGTCGTATTTGATAGATCGTATTGTCGTATTTGATGGATCGAATTGTCGTATTTGATGGATTGTATTGTCGTATTTGGTGAATTGTATTGTCGTATTTGATGGATTGTATTGTCGTATTTGATGGATTGTATTGTCGTATTTGATGGATCGTATTGTCGTATTTGATGAATTGTATTGTCGTATTTGATGGATCGTATTGTCGTATTTGATGGATTGTATTGTCGTATTTGATAGATCGTATTGTCGTATTTGATGGATCGTATTGTCGTATTTGATGCATCGACTGTCATATTAATCGCATTCAGATGTCTGATTCCGAATGAACACCACCCACCCAGTAAACACGGGTTGAACTACACACATTAAAACAAGAGAACACATTAAAACAAGAGTACACATTAAAACAAGAGAGCACACTAAAACAAGGGAACCCCGTCCCTATATAACGCACTCGAACTCGCATGCAGCAGCTATCAACCAACATCCGAGACATGTGTACCTTAATACTTATCAGATGTGTACCTTAATACGTATCAGATGTATACCTTATTACGTATGAGCTGTGTACCTTAATACGCATCAAAGGTGTACCTTAAATCTTAATAACATATGTGCTGTGTACCTTAATTTAAGCCATTTGGCCATTCGTTTGGAGCTTTCGACCACTTTCTCGGATGTCTCGTTAATCTGTTGCAGCCCTTTGACGCGGATGGATCTGGAGGTACCGCCTTTGGAGCCTGGTGAAGGGATTGCAGACATGTAGGATAGTCGGGTTAATGAATGAGGGTGTGGTAGTGGGATGAATGTAGGTAACTATACGGTTGGGATGGGTGCATACATGTATGTATATATGTTAGTTGGATTACTGTATGTATGTATGTTAGTTGGGATTACTGTATGTATGAATGTTAGTTGGATTGATGTATATATGTATGTAAGTTGGATCTATAGTATTGAGATGGATGCTTCTATGTATGTATAATAGTCAGAACAATGCATGTATGTGTGATAGTCAGATCAATGCATTCCTACGATGGCTGTCTCTATGGGCCATATAAACCACGGTAAGGACTTCTCACCAGATACTCAAGCCCTAAAACCTTACATACTTAAACCCTAAGACCCTAAATACTAAAACCGTAAAACCCTGGAGAGGTCACATGTCTGCGTCGTATGTACACCTTAACAGCCGGTGTCTTCATATCAGTTACTCTGTACAGTGGGCATCGGCGAGATATCCGCACCATCGCTTAACCGCCACTTTTGAACGCTCACACTATAAGCGTCCCTGACTATGCAGTTTTGCCACAGATTTGGGATGTAGGGTTTAGGGTTTAGGGTTTAGAGTTTCAGGGCTTGGGGTTTTAGGATTTAAGGTTTAAGGGTTTAGGGGTTTAGGGCACACATGCTTCGATACGCCTCCCCTTTCGGCCGCCAGTTATTAATGCCACATACCAAGTATGACCCGAATTTGGTCGCCGAGGACTGTCCTCATTTGGTTGTTCAACCGGTTTACCATGGTCATGAGAGTCCTAAAAAACAGGACAAAGTACGAGGTCAGAAGTTCCCACTCCATTGGACATCACGGCATGTGTGTACACATAGACCATGGTTATGAGAGTCCTAAAAAACAGGACAAAGTACGAGGTCGGAAGTTACCACTCCATTGGACAACACGGCGTATGTGTACACATAGACCATGGTAATGACAGTCCTAAAAAACACTGCATATGTGTACACATGTAAGCATGAATACTAAGGCGTGTGAGCGGTTTTAGGGTTTAGTCTGTATATACTTGCCTGTAGTTTTAAAGTTTAGTCTGTATATACTTGCCTGTAGTTTTTAGGGTTTAGTCTGTATATACTTGCCTGTAGTCAGTAGTAAACACAGTACGTAGTGGTCATTTAAGATACATATATTTTATACGTTACAACAAGACATACGTTACAAACAACAAGATATTTGTAGTGCACGTGCCAAAAGATATATCATATACGTTAGAAACAACAGAACATTTGTATTAAAAGATATATCATATCCGTTAGAAAAACAGGACACTTGTCTTAAAAGATATATCATACCCGTTATAAACAACAGACATTTGTATGTCATAGTGGGTATAACCAGCATTGATTGCATATGCCAAGAAAACGTAAACGGGCGACGTTTGCGGGTCCCACGCCAGCAGTCAAAACGTACAGTATATAGGCAGAGCGTTTATAAACGTGAACTTGCCTGTACAGCGACTATGAGCGGTGTTATAATTCGTTGACTACGGATATGTATTTATACCAATGCTATACTCCGCTTACGTACGTGTACACACCATGTACGGATTGATTCGTTGTTCGTCTTACTAGAAAACCAATATACAGTGGTGTTCATATGAACATATAGAACTCAATTACATACGCACACACTCTATAAATGGATATGAGAATACCACACCTCACTTACAGTACATATAGAAGATATGGACAAGATAAGTATATATAGAAGATATGTACACGATAAGTATGTAGAGAAAACATGGACAAGATAAGTCTATATAGAAAATATGAACAAGAGAATATATATAGAAAATATGGACGGACAAGAGACTATACAAACACGGCCTGCAGGTGTTCATATCAACATAGAGAACTCAGTTACATACACCGTGGAAACTCTAAACACTAAAAAACCCCCCTAAAAACCTAAAACACGCTAACTTACATGTAGAGCGATTGGAACACGTGTTTGAATTCGTTCACCACAGTCATCTGCCATTTGCTCAGCACTTCCCCGTCGTCCACACATTTGCCATCCACTGCGTCAACAGGGGAATAGAAAATAGGTATTAATAACAGGGGTAGTCGTAAGGTAGGTATCAATAAGGAGGGGGTCGATGGGATCAGTGGCGATAAAGTATGTGTTCAACGAACTGGATTCATCAACAGAGGTATCCGTAAAGTAGGCATCAGTAAGATAGGTATCAATAACACAAGTGACGACAAAATAACCATACAACGAAAGCTATTTAATAACAGTGGTATTTGTAGAGTAGGCATCAGTAAGATAGGAATCAATAACACAAGTGACGACAAAATAACCATACAACGAAACTTATTGAACAACAGTGGTATCAATTACATATACACCCCGCAGGTGGTTCAGGCTAACGCCTCCCCGGCAATCTCAACAGCAGTATATAACATTGTGCACATGCACAAACATATGAGCTCATATGTGCACACGCACAAACATATGAGCTCATATGTGCACACGCACAAACATATGAGCTCATATGTGCACACGCACAAACATATGAGCTCATAAGTGCACACGCACAAACATATGAGCTCATATGTACACACGCACAAACAAGCACACGTACGATGTATGTCAGTGAAGGATATAGCTTAACTCACTGTGTATATGTGTTGACTTGGTGTGCGCCTGTTCCACCAGCCGCAATCCGTCAACACAGGATTAAACAAGAAACATATATATATATATATATATATATCTATATACATATATACATATATACATATATACGTATATACATATATACATATATACATATATACATATATACATATACACATATATACATATATATACATATATATACATATATATATAACATGTATATCTTGCTCACCTCCAGCTTCCACAGCTATCTCAACGGCTCTACTGGCCTCTTCACCAAACGGTGTCAGAGCTAACTTCGCTTGGGTGAAGGACTGTACTATGTTGTTCATTGCCGCACACACCTACAGCCGTAGGATACGAGATGTACGTGTGTATGT